GCCCATGGTATCCTAGGGCCTTACTTCTTTGAGGATGGCAGAGGGCGCGCAGTTACTGTTACGTCGAGCAGCGGCATATTGTGGCCGTATGATCGAAGAGTTTTCATACCAGAATTGCAGAATAAAACTTTTCAGGCTTTAATGCCAGGACGTGGTTTCAACAGGATGGGGCCACTTCTCACACCTCTAACACTGCTATGCCCGTTATCCGTCAACTTTTTCCTGGCAAAGTTATCTCTAAGAGAGGAGACATTTCCTGGCCTCCACGTAGTCCAGATCTGACCCCGATGGATTTTTTTTTGTGGGGCTACCTTAAGGCTAAAGTATACGACACAAACCCGCGGTCAATTGAGGCCCTAAAAGAAAACATCCGCAGAGAAATGACAAGCATTTCAGCAGTGACGTGCCGCGCAGTCATCGACAATTTTAGACGTCGTTTGCAAGAGTGCCGTGATCGCAACGGATTACATTTAGGAGATGTTATTTTCAAAATAATAATTCCCGTTTTTTAAGCTTTTTATGTAAATAACAAATTTAATTCATAATGTAATTAGTTTTATTTTAATAAATTTTTTTTCATATCAAAGGACTTATGGGCCACCCTGTATAACTAGTCAGGTCATAAGTATTGTCACACAGTAAAAACTTTTCTTTTAGAATGCTGGCCACAAAAAAGTTTATTGAATTCGAATTTCGAATTGTTCATGAAAATACAAAATGTATACTTTTAGAATTTTACTCATTTTTAAATATGGAGTGGACGCTTAACGAAGACCGTGTTGCAGTTATTGCGTTGCATCGTTGCGGTTACGCGCCAATTCAAATTTTTAAACATACTGAAAAATTTGAATATAACCAAAAGATTCGTTTATCGTACTATCAAACGATACAATGAAGACTCTAGTGTAGATGACAGGTCAAGAAGTGGTCGCCCTCGGTCTGTTAGGACTCCAGCAGTGATAAAAGCTGTGAAGGCGCGAATTCAAAGAAATCCCAAACGTAAGCAGAAACTGTTGGCCCTTCAGATGGGGTTAAGCAGAACCACGGTGAAAAGGGTGTTAAATGAAGACTTAGGGCTTCGGGCATATCGAAGAAAAACAGGACATCGTTTGAATGCTCGTCTAATGGACCTGAGACTGAAGAGATGCCGCGCTTTGTTGAAGTGGTACGCGGGAAAAAAATATCGGGAAATTCTTTTTTCGGATGAAAAAATTTTTACCGTAGAAGAGAGCTACAACAAACAAAATGATAAGGTGTACGCACACAGTAGTGAAGAAGCGAGCAACCGTATTCCGCGTGTCCAACGAGGTCATTTTCCATCCTCGCTCATGGTATGGTTGGGAGTTTCTTATTGGGGCTTAACAGAGGTACATTTTTGTGATAGGTGTAAAAAGATGCAGTTGTGTATCAAAATACAGTCCTGACGAACCTTGTGGAACCTGTTTCTCATACCATGTTCAATAACAGGCACTGGGTATTCCAACAAGATTCGGCGCCAGCTCATAGAGCGAAAAGCACACAAGACTGGCTGGCGGCGCGTGAAATCGACTTCATCCGGCACGAAGACTGGCCCTCCTCCAGTCCAGATTTGAATCCGTTAGCTTAGATTACAAGATATGGCAACACTTGGAGGAAAAGGCGTGCTCAAAGCCTCATCCCAATTTGGAGTCACTCAAGACATCCTTGATTAAGGCAGCCGCCGATATTGACATGGACCTCGTTCGTGCTGCGATAGACGACTGGCCGCGCAGATTGAAGGCCTGTATTCAAAATCACGGAGGTCATTTTGAATAAACTTTAGTGTCATAAGAATCTATGTTTTGTTAAGTTCATTTTGGTATATGAATGGTTACATAATGAATAAACTTGTTTCAATTATTTTACATTAAACATGTGACAGAATTTATGACCTGACTAGGTATATAGGCCGTGCAATAATATTTACGGAAATTTCACATAAATTGGTCACATGCTACAGAATCAAGTACAAATTGATATAGTTCAACTAAAAGACATACAATATCTAATCTTGAGAATTACTAATACGTATCGTCTTTTCGCATTAAAAGTGTAGAACTTCCAAAAATATTCGTAATTGAGTTAATATGCGGAATCATTTGGTATCACCAGTATTTTTCTTATAAATACTGTCAAAAGAGCGTAGTTTAGTTTTAGTTTATTTTTTAGTTTACTTATGTTTTGACTATTAACAAAATTAATACATAACTTTATCATACTTTAAAAGACAGATAATGTAACTGGTAAAAAATAAAAAATAAATGTGGCAAAGATAATTAATTTCAAAAATATTACATGTTAAACCTTTAAAACACTCTCCTGTAAAATTTGTAAGTTGGAACTTTCAGACCTAGATAGATTTATACACGTAGGTACATGATGTCTCAAGGAGCATCCGTAATTTCATACAAAGTCCGATTTAAATAAGCCAAGGAAACTAGGGATGACCATTCAGGACTAAAAGTTTAGAATAAACACGATTTATTAACTCAACTCTGTGTTACTGTATCCAATGCGAATCTTTTTGGCAGTGAAATCGTTAAAATACTTCTGTAGGACTAAATATAATGAAATAAAATCTGACTTATGAAATAAGCGACGTTAATAATAAAATATCAGTTAAAACTTCAACACTGCTGAACTGAAATAATATCATGTTTTACGTTAACAGGTCAATGACCGATCTGGGCGGTGACAACAAGTTGCCAACATCGCCAAACGATAAATCCAAGTTTCACTTCAAATTCCCGCAGCTGTCTATACATCACGAGAAACCTAATGAAGTGATTGACAAAGATGCTTTGGGTATGTATGTGGATATACAAGGAAAAAAAATGTTTTTGTCTATTAAAATTTTCATTTATAATTCTGAACTTAAAAGTTGTTACTATATGATTGCCGCATTATCAACTGCACGACTTTCATTGTTAAAGATAATAATTCGGTTTGCTCCTGTCTCTAGTAATGTGCCTCTCTATGAAACGTCATAGTTTGTATACAAGTCACATGCCTACCTCACTACTTTCAGTGTTTGTGATGGTGGACCTTTGTGAATTCGTGATTCGAGCGATAAGTTGTTTTAAAGGCTAATTCGTATTAAGAAAATAAATAAAAATACGCGGGTCTCAACAGCCCCATATACTTTCTGAGTTATAACTGGGATTACTGATAAATATAACCATGGATACAACAAGACTAAATTTCAGACGCGTAATGAAAAAAAAAAAATTGTTTCTAAAAATATTTAGATTGATGAAAAATGATTCGATAAGTATTTAAAAAAAATATTTTCAATTATTTCTACTTATATTGAATAAAATTCATTAGAAAAGAAAGGAAAACTGTTCGGTTTCCACTCTAGTTTTTATGTTAAAAAATTCCAACTTTGTACTACATTTTTGTTTGCCCAGCACATGTTTTCCATCTACTTAGACTGGTATCGAAAACTGATTACCAGTCGAAGAGAATCATTCGTTTCGAAGACGCGTTCAAGTCAACAACTCGAACAGAATGCATAAGTTTTTGAATAAGCTGTGTGGTTCGGTCTTCAGGAAGTTTACGTTTTACAGGAAACTTCGATATGAGAGATTGATCGTTAGTGTTTTATTGTTCGGTTACAACTACTGTTTTATAGGGTTCTATCCCGTACTATTTGAAATTCGATTTTTTTTTCTTGTATTGTTTATTTTTAAAGTATTATTTTTTAAAGGTACACTCAAACAGTATAATTTTGATTAGGCTTTTATTTTTATTTTTTCATCCGATTTGGTCTCTTGTAAATTTTATTGGATAATATGTTTACATTTAAATAATTTGTCTTCGATATATTGCAGCTAAACAAGAACGTCGCAACTTCAGCGAGGAAGCTAAAAGCGTACCCGACATACAGGTAGGTAGGCTTTGGATTATTAGTTTTGTTACCGCATTTCATTGTGTATATCGATAACTTAAACAATACTTTCCGTTTAATAGTATATTAGCTTTGAGAACTGCTGTGAATTATTTCATGGGAACCTTTGATAAATATAAAGTTAACGAAGATCTGGATTTACTATGACTAGGAGATTTAATAGAAGATACAACGATTTCTGTTGTTATTGTATGTATAAATATGCAATAATATCTTATAATAATTAGCTATGTTTTCAGTCGACAATAACGAAAGAGAGCAAAGCTGCATACACCCATTTAATCGAGGAGCCGACGCCCTCTGGATCATTGTTGACTCAAATCGCCAAAGAAACGAAAGCGAAGGGTCATCACCAGCCGGCAACAATGCCCAAACCAGCACCGAGAAGCGAACCGCGTCCTAGATTCCATTCACTGCAGATCGCACCACCATGCAAACCTAGGTAATAAATACAAACAACGAATATCTTATTTTGATTACATACAACCCATAACGTACTTTTCAAAATAGAGAATATACTTGTTTTTCTTTTAAAACTATATCAAATTAAAAAAAATGTATTGGGTTTTTAATTCAATTTATTAATTTTATGATTAAATTACATTTACAAAATTACTAGACTTATCTAGTGTAGATGGCGCTAGTGTGCATGACAGACTCTTTTTTTTTTTTTTTTTTAATTATAGGGTGTTTGTTTTTTATAAATTCTTTGGCGTATTACTTTATGTAAATTTATAATAGTAAATGCAAATATATTTATATTGTTGTTTCTTAATAAATTCTATTTGCAGGCCGTGTCCTGAAGTCGAAACAATTGAAAAAGAAGTAAGTAGTAATAATTTCAATTATGTATTTAAGATTGAATGCGATTTTAGTAAATTCTGTATAATTATTAGTTTTTTTTTAAATAGTAAATTCAAATTAACGTTAGCAATGTTTTTATAAAAAAAAAAATATCAAAATAATCGTCTTTCCAGCGAGCTAAGGCTAATTGAGTTTGTACGTTATACGAAATCTTAACTTTCAGATCACAAATCCATTACCGCTACCACCGAGAGCTACCAAACCAAAACTGGTCGACAAACGACGTCACATCCGAAAGTATCCCCTCAAGCTGCCATCGGACATGGTTCTCCCCGAGCCCGGTCCAAGCAAGCAGATAATATACCAAAACGCTTTCACTCCGGTTAACTGTCGCTTGCAACACGACAACGATCGCAAGAGTAACGGCGTCGACGTAATTGACGGTCCAGCTAAAGGAACGAATCCGTTCTCTCGTTCCGGACCTAGTTCGGTTAATCCCTTCGATAATTGTATCGAAACGAACGACGACGGCATCGATCTGCATCTCGACGTTGTCCGGTACGACGTTAGTGAAGACGAAGACGACGAACATGACATCGCCGAAGGAGCTCTTGTTAAAGGTAACAATAGTCAAGCTTGGTCCAGTATCGGCTATAGACATGTAGTTAACTTTTGCGCGATCGACAAGTTAAAAAATACGCACTAAGATCATTGATGTATGAAGTTTTTACTTGTGGTAGAACGTCTTGTGAGTCCGCACGGGTAGGTATCACCAACCTGCCTATTTCTGCTGTGAAGCAGCTTAGGTTTGAAGGGTGGGGAAGCCGTTGAGACGTTAGAACTCATATCTCAAGGTGGGTGACGGCATATACGTTGTAGATGTCCGTGGGCTCCGGTAACCACTTAACACCGGGTAAGCACTTCTATCCATACAAGCAATAAAAAATGTATTTGAAATTCTTAAATGGTTCTTTGCATTCACGAGTGTTTTTTGTTTGTTTGTTGTTTGTGTGTGCGAATGTTTTTTTAATGGCTCTGATTGTTGAACGTGCTCTGTTCAGAGCTTGACTCGTTTGCGGCATAAATGGGTGGGTCAGTGGTACTTGGCCGTGCGGTATATTCAATAGATCGTATTACCGTTAAATGAATAGTAGTGATCATAGTGCGTTCATATAATACTCCGACAACGCTGTTAATGATTCTCTAAGGAATCCTTTGTTTATTTTATATGACACTCTCGAGAAGAGATGGGTCAGTGTTGTTCTAAGTCTAGTCCACACGACCACGCAATGCAGTGCTAGCAATGTATGGTATCAGTAGATTATAGATATTAACACCAGAAGTATATCGAATCATGGATATTATCTGACTTCTATTGTGTAGATTTATTAACAGAATAGTTATCGTCTCTTGAGAAAGTATGAGTGATTCGCGTCTTGAATAGGCGGAATTGTGGTAAAAATGCTTACGTTACATCCAGCTCTGATGGATTTATGAAAACTAGTAGTCCCCCAGTAGCCAAAATTCAACTATAATTAATTGAAATTATAAGTTTGAACATTATTATACTTCTAGAATCACCGATTTCGCCAAAACTACACCATAGAGAAATAATATTAAAGACAAACAATATTAATCTAATCTCAATTTGACCACAGATTATAAGCAATAAGAGTATTTTGACAATAAACAAATAGTATACTCGTATATATTTGAGTTGTGTCAAATATATGGTAGTGTGTGTAATGTTTCTTTTATTGATTTATTGTATTTTTTATCCATAATTTTAAAAAAGAAATATAAACATTCTGCACTCCTCTATATTCTCTATAATTGTGGTAAATTTGATACTCCTCCGCGGAATTTGTGTTAAAAGGAGTACAAAGTTTTTGCTTCACGTATTGATATATAGATTACACAATATTTTCAAAGTAGTTCAATCGAGTAGTTTAAATATTTTGGGGCTAAAATCCTAGTGTACGTTCACGAACGACTACAATCGAGAAAAATAATAATAATACAGTGTAATGAAGAGAAAAGCACGAAATATAATTTGGGATCAGGGACTTTGATCTCGTGTCTCGGGACTAGTTGCGGTTAACTTGATGCCTACGGAACTCCGCGGCTTACCTCTAAGGTAATTAAAAATCAAGCTGGTCTATTATTGGCCCATATGATACTCTTCTTTTTCTCCACCTTATCCCACTAGGTGGGGTCGGCGCAGCTAATTTTTCTCTTCCATTCTCTTCTATCAGCCGTCATCTCAACATTCACTCCTCTCTCTCTCTCATATCGTCATTTACACACTTCATCCATGTCTTCTTCGGTCGACCTCTTCCCCCTCTACCTTGCACTACCATTTTCATACATCTCCTCGATCTGATACATCGTGCATAAAGATTCGCAATCAAATTTAAAACATAGTGTAGTGTTTCCAGAATGTTCTGACCACGTGTCGGTCGAGGATCTGCTCGAGTTCGCCGACCAGAAGCCCTGCGGCAGACAACGTGGCGTCGAATCCGATGAAGTCAGGATCATGAGAAAAGTACTTAATCAGAAAGTAAGAAGACTTTTTTTTTATTAGATGGGTGGACGAGCTCCCAGCCGACCTGGTGTTACTGGGTTACTGGAGCCCATAGACATCTACAACGTAAATGCGCCACCCACCTTGAGATATAAGTACTAAGGTCTCAAATATAGTTACAACGGCTACCCCACCCTTCAAACCGAAACGCATTACTGCTTCACGGCAGAAATAGGCAGGGTGGTGGTGCCTACCCGCGCGAACTCGCGAGTGGTCCTACCACCAGTGGAAAAAGTATGAGCGAAACTCTTAAAGCCCATTAAAATAATATCACAACAATAATATCTCATTTATTGATATTAAATTTGAAGCATATTATAACGGTTGGTTTTTTTTAATGATGAATTATCAACTAGATCTTCAACTTCAATATTTTTTGTTTCCACCACTATTGATCGAATTGTATTATCCTGTATTGAAATTGTAATATTCCGTTAGCTTAGCCCATTCTGAAATTATATTAAAGACTAGTATAATTAGTATAATTTAAGCGGCTTTTTATTAAAATTTGATGATTTGAAATAAACCTCTCAGTTATCACATATCAAAAGTGAGCTACCAATGTCACGATGTTGATTATTAAGTTTGTTGTAATTGGATACTTTATATGATTACATAAAGTGCATTAATTACGAACTAATAGCAGCTATGTCGTACAATGCGCGTCGTAATTATATTCACAACCAAAGCGGTCTAATTCTAAGGCCATATACATTATGTTATAAGCCTTCAAGTTCTTACTTGTTGTTATTTATTATGTATATTTCTAGCTTGTAATGTGATTGTGTGCCTAATAAATAAATAAATAAATAAATTAGATGACATCTCCCAAATATATTGCAGATACTGTAAAAATGTGTATGGTCAATGGTATTATAGTTTCGAATGTTTCCCAAAATGAAGTCTCACTTAAAACAATTAACATTACAATTGAGGCGGTCAGCGCAAAACTGGCCTAAGCTTACCATAGTTATTATGGAGCAATAAGGTTTAAGTTTTCATGATTTTGAATTTGAGTAGGCAAAAAAATAATACGCGCAAAAATTATGTTTACAAAGCCATCTGTCTATCTCTGGGTGATCTCTATCTATGGGTGAAACTATAGATAGGTCGATTTTGCTTGATTATGAAAAATTGTGGGTTAGGCCACTTTTGCGCTGACGGCCTCAATTATATGGTAAGTCCACATTGCAATAAAAAACTGTCAACGAACCAGAGCATTTCTCTTAAGATGGATTTCGATGTTTACAAATTGGACTCTTGTGAATGCTTATCGCGATGTGGCCCCCTAAACTTGACTCTATCGTCGGTCAGTCTAATGCCATAACCCCGTTTCTAATAGGTGACACCTGAAGAATGCTTAGCCGCTTTAGAGCTGAGTGATTGGAACGTTCACCAAGCCATCAAAGTGATGCGCGTCAAGATATCTGTCGGCGAGGCTGTTTCCCTGGAGGAATGTAGCACGGAGCTGCTAAAAGCCTGCGGAGATATTGTTAAGGCTTCGGCCGTACTAGTGCTTTGTAAACGTGAAATAAAGTAGACCTTTCGTGTGTGTTGTGTGTATTATTGTGCGTTTTATTTTAATTTAGGTCAGGTTTGGTTTTAGGAATGCTGATAGCGAAAAATTGTTGAAGAAGTTACAATGATAATTTTGATGGAAATTTGATTTTTAAAGGAATTTCAGTAGCAATGAAACGCAGGAGTTAGTTTGGAAGTTGTCAAATATTCGATTATAAGTTGAAATGTTTGCCAAACTGCTATCCAGCTTAGTCGTTTCAATACGTGGAGTACTCAAATAAATCATCCGAATTTAATTTCAATATTACACTATAAACTCTCCAATAATCCACACCTTGTGAAGAGGATGAACAACTAGATTAAGGAAAACGACTTTAACAGTAAAACAGTTAATTTAAAGTCTATCCAATTATTCATCTAGATTTCTGAAAATTCCTTTCATAGTCAACTAATTCCCTTCCATATCCCTCCTCCCTTTGATTTATGCGGCACGGCGCCTGGCTGTCGCTTCAAATAAGTCACGACGCTTTGAAGAAGGAAATAAATTTAATTCAAGCGTATAATAATTTCCTGGAAAACAAAGACCTTATTCATATTGATATGAGACATAGATATTATCGATGTATTTGAGCAGACCAGCTTAGGGCCACCTACACCATTCACGTTGAGGAATGTTATCGAGATCTTTATTAAACAATCATACAACAGTTACCACACCAGCCGCCACATATGTAAGTAGGCAGAATAATGGTACATACATAGCTCAAAATACATCCTAACATTAATAGTAATAGAATCTTATGGCTTTTACTACACAAATCTATTTCTTCATCGTAAATCTTTTCAAGATGTTAGGTTCTATGAATTTTTTTAGAAAAAATGGTATCTGCACGGGAAATTTCGACCCGGCGCACAGTGGGTCGATACTATGATTTTAGTAGTAGACTTAGGCACCAACTTTGTTTTTTTACATTTTTCTTTATGTACATAGATAGAGCTCGTTAATCTAAATAATAATTGTTTTAGGCAAAAATTACAAAAACTTTATAGTTTGGTCAGAAAAATATGTTTTGTGATTTTTTTGTATGGAGCGGGTCACATTAAATTAAATTCCTGCTAAGTACCGCGAGGTCCCGCTTTGAAACTTTATTTTCCTTACACCTTGTCTAGTCTACTATCATTTGATGCTATGAACATGTGCATAAAGTTGCAACTCTGCCAAATAAATGGATTGAAAAAAATTAATAAATACATAGAATAAAAACCTTTATATTTTTTTTCGTGAGTGCTTTTAAGTTAAATTTGATATGGATTAGTAAGTAAAAGCACGTAATGATACCCAGAATTACATAATACCTAACAACAATACATTTAGTAGGTCTCTAATTAAGCAATCTCTTTAAGTTTTATATATTTTGTTTCACCATTCGATCTTTGGGCCAGAAGACAAAAGAAGATTGTGTAAAATATCCTCATTAGTCGATGTTCTACTTATTTTTCTAAAATAACAACTCTCTGTATATTTCCGAAAATTTTTATTGAGAGCTTCCGCTGCCTCTTCCGAGAGCTTACCTATTCGAATGGCACCAACGTTCTTCATTATTGTATATCACCGCCATGAGCCAACAATTTATGGATACTGGAAGGCATATAATACCAGGGATATAAATTAACATACAATTTTGCAGTATATCTACAAAATTCGGAAAAATTGGAAAGGTCCACGCGCTCTCCAGATGCAACAGTCTGAAGAATCAGGTGAACGTGAACGTAAAAAAACAAAGTTGGTGCCTAAGTCACTAAAATCATAGTATCGACCCACTGTGCGGCGTAGTTGAATCGATCGATACAAATACACCGGGCGTCATCCATTAGGCCGCTTATCTACAATCTATCTGAGAAACGTACGCTTGTTGAATCCTACATCGAAAGCTTGAAATGATATTTACCTATATCATTTATGTAACTTTGTTATATTGTTTTTCTCTGTTCCTCTGTTTCTTCCTTCCTCTGTTTGTGTTATAAAAACCAGCTTGCTGTGCCAAGTCGTAGTTAAGGCTGATCTAATCTGAACAATAATCATCAGATTTCAAAATATAATGTAATTTTCCTGCATACGTTTTTAAGTTTGTAAAACTACCAACGCGAGATTAAGATAAAAGCTATATTCCAAACATGAAAAAATTACCAATTACAAGGAATAAACGCGGAGGACCTTCTCTCAAAACTAAATTATTTCTTTTGTGTGGCATAGGACGAAACTCCGTACATTATTTATATTAAAATGAATAAAAAAATTTAAGATAATATTATGGTTCTTTTCAGAAAATATTTAGTTATAACGTATCAATGAATATTTCCTAATATTTTCTGACGCCACCGAAAAGGAGCTCAGAGCATTTGGTCGTTTTCGGGTCAGTAATTCGAAGCATACGAGTCTATCCAATTGGGTCAGACTGTGTAGGGGTGTAAGACCAAAAAATTAATGAGCAAAAATAAAACTTGCTAAAGTACCTACTTCAGTCATTCTCAAAATCCCCTAGTTCACAGCTATCTTTGAATTATTTTCGTATAATCATATATCGCTCTTTTACGTAGGAGGAACTAGATCTTATATGCTAAAAACCGACAATGAAATATTACTCTCGACAACCCTAAGGCAGTGGAAACGGATCGCTACACCCCCTAGAGTCACACCCCGTTGTGCCCGCAGAAGGCATTCGTGACTTCGTGAATTAAGAGCCTTGTACATTAGGATCAATGCCTTAAATTTGATATGTACTAATTGAAACTGTTGTACTTTGCATAATTCAGCTGGTCTATATAGGATATAAGACAACGTTGAAACATTTATTGTTGATATTTTTCACGACACCTACCAAAGTAGTGTAAATCACAATGTCTACTTTTCTTGTGGGCATATGGGTGGAATCTGGTATAGAGGCTTGTTCCGTTACCGAGCCAAGGTGCAGCTAACCCAGTGTTTCCCTGTAGTATCTTAGATGTAGCCTCCTAAGAAGTTAGGTCTCCTCGTATAGGTGTGATGTCATGTAGAAATGTTTCTTCAAAACTAACAACGTGGAGAACGCCTTTTACCTTTATTTAAACTAAGAATTCTTTAAACTGACATCGCCAATTTGTTTCGCAAAATCCTCTTTTCTATCTAGTGATTTTATAGTGATTGATTTTGAGACTTATTGGTTTGACATCATTCAATTAAATTTTTTTGAATGCATTACCAATAGAGTAAGTAAATCCACTGCAAAGTGATCAATAAATTGAAACAAAACAAAAGAGCCAGCATTATATGTTGAATTTTGCAAAAGTAACTGAGGAAGTACAGTGAAGCAGTCACTCAAAGTAACTGGGTCATCGTCGAGAACACCCGACCCAATCCATTTAAGAGGGGCTTGTTCATAACAGCTGTAGTTACACAACGACCTTCTCGTTCCGAATTCAGCCCCTGCAGTGTAATTACTCTGAGGCCCGCATACAAATGCACTATTTATCACACAAACACAATGATCCTCGAAAATAGGTTACCAGGATAAAATAAGAGAAAGATTTGCGCTACTGAATCAGTAAAAGTTTTTATTGTCCCAAATAAATAATGTGCTCATCTGTAAATTTTTATTAATTAACAATTCTATTCGATAGTTTTATTAACAAATACAATCTCGTATGACTTGTTTGTAAAGAATCATTATAGAGAAATAAATGACATTTAAGAATGAACTAAAAAATTGAATTTCCAATTAAATGGTACGATAAGGGTGATATTAAAAATTAATATTTAAAAATAAATTAGATAGCTGTTAGAATATAATATGATCAGTTTCCCCATTGCTACATTGTCATTAAATATCCAAAGACACCGCATAAGCGACGTCATTATTATATTAAATAAGGAAACGTTTTTGTGAGATAGGGAAATTTATATCTAAAATAGGGCAGCAGAACGCTCGTTTAATTACGGAAAGTAAGTAGGCTATTCTCCCGCGGTACTGCTCAGCCAACTGTAAACGAAAAAGGGTTGAAATTTATAATGGGGAATCGAAAAAAATTACTCGTTAGATTAAGCCGAGTTAACACGATAAATTCATACGTTAATCGGCTTAAATCTCTATATTAATAGGTACGTGAAGCAAAAACTTTATACCCCTTTTTACGAAAATTGCGCGGACGGGGGAAAATGAAATTTTCCACACTTACAGAGAATATAGAGGAGTGCAGAATGTTAATAATTTTTTTTAATTTTACGTTAATAATACATTAAATCAATAAAAAAACATTACACACACTACCATGTATTTGACACACTGACATACATTAACAAACCTAGTTTTTCGGATTATTATTTTATTTAGCGATGATTTTCTTTTAAAGGTTATGTCACGTTATTTTAATTAGATATAGAGATTATGAGAAAATCTTAGAGTTTTTGGAGCATAAATCGATTGCTTTGTAGTTATTTTTCTTCATAAATAGGAATACTCGAATGCAACATAAAAGGCAGCTTAACATGATTCCATATTTACGACTGTATATCTATTATTCGTACCATTAAATAAACACTCACGAGCATACCGAGTACGCTACGACGGTTCAGTTTAGTGTATGTTTACCGGAACCGTTATTAAATGAAACGGGAAATTACGTTTTTAAAGTCTTGTGAATATGAAATTTACTAATTACGTTAGTCTGCTGGTACTCATAAACTAGGAATTAAGCAGCAGTAGTTTATATTTTATTTTATTTTTATTGCTTAGATGGGTGGACGTGCTCACAGCCCACCTGGTGTTAAGTGCTCACTGGAGCCCATAGACATCTACAACGTAAATGCGCCACCCACCTTGAGATATAAGTTCTAAGGTCTCAGTATAGTTACAACGGCTACCCCAACCTTCAAACCGAAACACATTGCTGCTTCACGGCACAAATAGGCAGGGTGGTGGTACCTACCCGTGCGAACTCACAAGAGGTCCTACCACCAGTAATTACACAAATTATAATTTTGCGGGTTCGATTTTTATTACACGATGT